TGTTTAGATGGTTCTATGAGTTTTCTATTCAGTAATTCTCATATGTAATTTAAGCATAATCGAAATATTACTCACATTCAAACAACCAAATCACGACTTAATATTAACAATTTCCGCTCAAATTGAATGTTGACTAAAAATGAGCAAAAGTTCAGTGCTCCACAAATAGAAATTCACGAAAATTTTAAAACTTTTATTCAAAATAATAATAATACTAAAGAATAAATATAAAAAAATAGTGAATGGTAATAAATAATCTACATCATGAAAATTTCATGGTAAGTTTTGACTTATTTAAAAAAATTTTAATATTTTTATAATTTTTTTTTATAGAAAATAAAATTTAGTCATAATTCTCTAATCTAAACATTGATAATTGTATTTACTTAAGGATAGAGGGAGGGAGAAATTGAATGTTGACTAAAAATGAGCAAAAGTTCAGTTCTCCACAAATAGAAATTCAAGAAAATTTGAAAACTTTTTATTCAAAATAATAATAATAATACTAAAGAATAAATATAAAAAATAGTGAATAGTAATAAATAATCTACATCATGAAAATTTCATGATAAGTTTTGACTTATTTCAAAAAATTTTAATATTTTTATAAATTTTTTTTATAGAAAATAAAATTTAGTCATAATTCTCTAATCTAAACATTGATAATTGTATTTACTTAAGGATAGAAGAGGGGGGGGGGGAGGGGATTTTTTTTTTTTTTTTTTTTTTTTTTTTTTTTTAATTGTTTGTATTTACTTTATCTCCATTTTTCTTATATTTAAATTTTTTTTTTCAATTTCTGAGAGTGTTATCTTTTTTTTGTTTTCCTGTAGGCAACCTTCAAGGGGTTCTTTTACTCTTTGCAATTTATTTTTTGTCTTTTCACTTATCATTTCTTGTCTCATTTTTCCTAATGTTTTCTATTTCTTCTTTTAGTCTTTTCTTTCGCTTAGTTTTCTCCAACCTGGAAGGCTTTTAGTCTTGTTGATGACACGCTTCACGATTACCGAGTCGTTCAGGATATTGAATCCACAACTGTCCTTTGGACTGCGCCAAAAGGTCTGAGCCAAATTCTGTAGTGAGAGGGTGGAGATAGAGAGCTAGAGAGAGTTGCTCCGTCGGGGAGCAAATAGGGGACGCACACGAGCTCGGTGGCCCATTTTAACCCGCACAAATTTAGATTACAAGTGAGAGGGAAGGGGAGCGTAAAAAGGGGGGCCCTTTACTTGCCAAAGCATCCTCTATTTATAGATTTAGAAAAAGGAGAGAAAAGTAAGATTACAAATATGCCCTCGTTTTTAAAATGATAGTGCATGTTATTTTAGTCTTTTATGTTGGTAAATATCACCGAATTTGTCATTCTGTAGCTTTTTTATTAGGAGGAGTCGTCGGGTTTCCGACAGTTGATTGGAGGAAAGGGGAGCCAGTTGGAGGAAAGGGGGGCCAGTCGGAGGAAAAGGTGTCGGTTGGAGGAAAAGGTGGTTGGTCGGAGGAAGAGGCAACCAGTCGTTGGAATAGGAGACTGGTTGGAGGAAAGGACGGCTAGTTGGAGGAAAAGATGGCCAATTTGAAGAAAATATGGTTGATTGGAGGAAATGGTGGCTAGTTGGAGGAAAAGGCATCCGATTGGAGGAAAGGAAACTAGTCAAAGGAAAGGCGTCCAACCAGAGGAAAAGACGACTGATTGGAGAAAAGGTGGTTGGTTGGAGGAATAGTCGGTCTGACAAAGAAAATGTGGCCGATTGGAGAAAAGGGCAACCGATCGGAGGAAAAGGTGGCATGTTGGAGGAAGAGGCGAGTAGTCGGATGAAAATGTTGTTACTCAAGATGGTCGGCCGGCTGGAACGGGGTGGTTGGCCCGATGTGACCCACCGGTTGGAGATGGCGGGCTGAGGATGGTCAATTGGCGGGAGAGCAGACTGCAAATGTGATTCCGACAGTGATTCCTTTAACCTGATGAGTATGATGACATTTTTAGGCTATACATGAAGCCTCCTAGTTTTTCTCCTTTTAGTGGAGAAACTGCATAAGAATGAAAAATTCATAAGTACAGAAACAAATTTTTCCTTATCCCCTTGCTTTACTTAATTTTTTAACAGACTTTTTCGTTAGCCTTTGTAGTGTAGATTTTTATAAGATTATGGGTTAAGTTTTAGATTTTTTTGGATATGACATTTGCTCAACTCAAGTTCCACACCTCACCTGGTCTCCTTTACTATCATTGGAACGTCGCCTCAGGCAACTGACAAAGATGATCTTCGTATACCCCTTGTGGAGTTTGTTGCTACCAGGTGATGAGTCATCTCAAGGGCAAAAATTGATTGTCGTATACCCTTCACAAAGCTTGTCGCTCCCGGGTGACGAGTCATCTCAAAGGCCGAAGATAATCGTCGTATACTCCTCACGGGGCTTGTCATTGCTGGGTGGAGAGTCATCCCAAGGGTCGAAGACAATCATCATATACCCATCGCAGATCTTATAGGTTTCAGGTGGTGAGTCATCTCAAAGGCCGAAGAGGATCACTATATATCCCTCGCGGAGCATGTTGCTGTCGAGTGGTGAATCGTCTATGGGGCGTAGAAGCCGGGTTATAAACCTCTCACTTTCGGAGCTTTGAGATAGTTTCTTGGAGGTTTCTTAAGGTTGAGAAGACGTTTTGATTGCTCATCTTGAAGGAGAGGCTTGAAGTGAGAGGGAATTTGCAGTACTCTTTCTGAAAGAGAGGCTTATAGAGAGAATTCACATGCTCACCTCGAAGGGGAGGCTTGGGGAGAAAGGGCATTTTTTCTTTTGAAAATGCTCTCTCGGAGGAGAGGCTTGAAATGAAGGAGAGAAAATTGTTTTTACTTATGAAGAGAGAGAGAGAGAGAGAGAGAGAGAGAGATTTGTTCTTTTGTTTTATTTCTTTTTTTATTTGTAATTACTTTATTTACATTTTTTCTTTTCTTTCATTTATTTTTTCTCTTTCTTTCTTTGATGAAAAGTAAATAAGTAAGACAAACTGCGTGCTTATCTCCTTTTGTTTTCCTTTATGTGATCTTCCTTCTTGTGACAGGGTTTCTTTTCTCTCTGTATTTTTTGTTTTTTTGTCTTTGAACTTGTCATATCTTATCTCATTCTTCTTCTTGAAGAAAAATTAAGTTCCGAAGGTTAAAATTAATGTATTACAAATTCAATCAATTTTATTTACATACATATATACGTCTCTCAATTTCTATCAATTTACATACGTAACACGTAAATATTTCTTTTAAATTTATACAACTGAAATCTCTCATATTATATCAAAAATATTTTTATTTTAACATTCAAAAAGTGAGATACATCTTTTCTTGCATAGGTAAGGTATAAAATTTAAATATTAGATATATAAATACGTAGGAATTGAGTGGTATGTATGGAAACCTTCCATAACCATAATTCTTACTACCATCAATATTTTAATTACATAAGAAAAGAATATATTCGAGTATTAACTACTTAAATGCCATTGAGAATCAGTTGTTTTTTTTTCCCTGTGGCGGGACACACTCAATTATATTGAATGAGAAAAAAAAATCTAAAATATACTGACAAAAAAGAAAGAAAGAAGATGATTGACAAATGAGAGCAACAACAACCATCTCATCTATAATAGGAGTGAACAAATTGCTCTGCAGAATAACCGGCTTGAAGGAGAGAGCAAAGGGTTCTCCAAAGACATTAACACTCAATCGAGAGGTCATATATACATCAGAATAGAAGAAACAAAAACATATACAAATGAACACTTGATCCTTAGTGTTATTTCGACCCCCAATTAATGAACTAAGGTAAAAGGGCATTTTTGTAATGTGGTACCGCTCACCTACCACATCTCACCTACCGTTCACCTACCGTTCACCTACCGCTCACATACCTCCCGCCTACCACTCTCTTGCTTCTATAAATAGAGAGGGTGTGAGGCTTAGGGGGGCAAGGGAAGAGATCTTAAGCTACCACAAAGGAGGAGAGAATAGCTAGAGAGCTAGAGAGGAGGAGAGCATCTTGAGGCCTTGTATTAAGGTGTCCTTTGAGAGGGAGGCCATAGAAGAAAGATGATGGCTCATCTCTATGTATAAGCTATGTATTCTCCATTTCTTTTGCCTTAGTGAACTATTTGATTGATTCCCTTCCGTGGACGTAGATCCAGTTAGATCGAACCACGTAAACGATCTGTGTTTGCTTGTGTTCTTTTCGTCTCATTTATATGTCAGGAAGTACATATCTCACAACACTTAGTGTAAGCCTTAAATTCATCTCAGCTCAATAATAGCAAAACTAGATGTAGCAAGAACAAAGCAGACAGAACTGATTGTAATATCTGAAACAAGGAACAAAATATAAGCAAAGCCATCAATATGCAACCAAGCAAAGAAAATAATACTCATCAGAGAAGCACAAAGTAAAGAGCAATTTAAATCCTGTAAAAATCTTTGATAAAAGGACAAATATAATTCTTAAATTTCTATCTCCTACCTCTCTACTTACTGATCCAACAAACATTTTAAATAAGCATCTCAATATAATTGAAATTAGTCAAAAAAATTTTACAATTCATTTGATACCATATGCAATAAGCAGTAGCATGAATAAAAAAGCCCTATAATAGAGATTAATAGAAATACATCTACAACAGAAGTTCAGATGTCTTAAGCCCACATGACAGACAAATTTAATAAAACAACTTTTAAACTGCAACAATTTACTCCAATCCTAACAAACAAGATGCTCATACAGAAAAAAAAAAAAAAAAAAAAAAAAAAAAAAACAAACAAACAAAAAAAGAATTATGATTATAATAATGTAAACTTATTTAGATGTAAATAATTTTCTCATAAACAATAACAACACCAATAAAGTAAATACATTGAGGACCAGCAAAATTATAATAACAATGACACTCAGTTCATAAGTCTATCAAAATTTGCGCAAATCAAATAAAAATATTCATAACAAAAAGTGAAATATTCCCTCTCTCTTCTCTCTCTCTCCCTCAATCACGAGAAAAATTTGTGTACGTAAGACGTACGCAGCGCTGCGTATGTCAGGGAGGTTCTTCAGGGGTATTTGGGGGTTATATCTCCGTTATACCCCCTGTAACATCACTGTAACCTACTCATAACATATCTATACCTTCTAGTAAGTTTAGCGCTTCTGTTTTCATATAATTGTAGGTTATAAGTCGGTTGCAGGTAGTTACAGGGAAGTTATAGGGTGTATAACACAGATATAACCCCCTCATTACTCTCTGAATAACCTCCCCGACGTACGTAGCGCTGCGTGCGTACGACTTACATACGTAAATTTTTCTCCTCAATCACAATCCTCACATTCCAAGCTCAATATATCATTTCCCCCGGCACCCCACCCCACCCCTCCCCTCTCCTCCACATCTCTCTCCCTCCCATCCTCCAAAAACTCCCTCACTATCCCCGCGCTCGGCTTCCACACCACCTCCTCCCACACCTCCTTCATCTCACCCCACACAATCGCCTTGGTAGCATCTACTCTCCATACTCTCCACCCATCCTCCTTCACAAACTTCACAATCTTCCTCCTCTGCTCCCTCGCCAACTTCCACGTGTTCTCCTTAATCTCCTCCAACGCCTTCTCCCTAAGCCTCCCCCTCTCCTCCCCCTCCACCTCCCCCTCCCTCCTCAAATACCCATCCATCTCCGCCACCCCTATCGACCTCCTAATCCCCTTCGAATAATCCACATTCTTCACATCAAACACCCCTCTCGCCTCCTCCACCAACCCCCTCTCCACCGCTTTCTCCAGCCTCTCCGCCACGTACTTCTCCAACACCTCCGGCTCAACATCCACCCATATAAAACAACTATCATAGCAAGCCCCGAATTCTCCATCCTTCCCATCCACCAGCTCTTTTATGTATGTGTTCGAGCCGCCGGCGATGATCGGCAGACGCCCGCGGGCGAGGATGTCGTCCACTGCCTGTGTGGCAGCGACACGAAAGTCATCGGCCGTGAAGTCATCGTTCGGGTGGACGAAGCCGAGGAGGTGGTGGGGAACGCCGGCACATTCATCAGGGGTGACTTTGTTGGTGATGACGTCGAGGCCATAGTAGATTTGCATTTTGTCGGAGTTGATGACTTCGCCATTGAATTGGAGGGCGAGGTTTATGGCTAGCTTGGATTTACCGGTGGCGGTGGAGCCGAGGATAAAGATGACTTTTTTTTGAGCTTTGGAGGTAGATTTTGGGAGGGAAGCCATTGTTGTGGGGTTGAAGGAGAAGGAATTGTTTCAAGGCTAACAATGGCTGGCTATATATAGGCTGCAAATGGCCGATTGCTTATGCGGAGAAAATACAATTTAAGAAGGGAAGTGTTATATTAGGATAAACGCGGTTCTAATTAAAGGTAACTTATTGGGTTGGGGGTTAACAGCGCAGTCTTCTCTCATCAACGAAGGTTAATAATAGAGGAATAGTTATTTATTACTATATTTACTATTTTCCCTGCTTAATGTTTTTCTTAAAAGAATATTGTTTGAAACTATTCTTTGATTTTCTCTTTTTTTTCTATATTACTTTTGCTTATTTGCTCAAGGCTAAGGATGGGTAGTTGGATTTCACTCTTGAGTCATTTTAGATTGGATATCTCGATGACGGTCCGGATGTGATCACGTCGTCTTGTATCGCTTGGCCGCCCGTCTGGCCTACGTGCGATTACCATGCGTAATATTTTTTTTATGAAGAGATAGTTTCAGCATCAAAATAAAGAAGCTCGTGATAAAAAAACATGATGATATTCAATTTTTGAATGACATAATTAATTGTTAAAAATATAAATTAATATATAAATAGAGGAAATCAAAAATGTGTCGGCACAAATCTTGAAGATATCACATGGCTGGCGGAAGAGGTGACATTGCCCCATGGGACCCACCGAGGAATACCTGCGACCGAACGCTTAGCTGTCAGCTTCTTCGTAGCGGGGGGATGGTGCTCCTAAGCGGATGAAGATTATCATTTTCTAGAGAATCTACATGACCAAATCTATGCGGACGAATCTGATGCCTTCCAACTCAGAAGGGCCAAACATACCATCCAGTGCGAAAGAATTTGACAATGGTCCTCGGTAAATAGCTGCCTGGCTTAATGGTCGCCCGACCTAATGGTCATTCGACTTAATTGCCACCCGACATAATGACCGCCCAACTAGATCCGTGCCAACGGATAATATTTATGTATAGACTAAAAGACCACAACATTATATATGTATACTAGAGGTATAGAAAGTAATTGTACAAACCCCCAATCCTATAATAGGGGATCCATTTCATGTATAAAATGTTACACAAATTTATTGTTAATTATTGTGCTCTCTCTCTCTCTCTCTCTTCTTCAGCGCTCTATCTCTTAGGCGTATCTCCCAAGCTTTTTTTGGATTCAACATCATAAAAAGTGTGGTGAGTGTGAAGTTATGTCGTTGACAAGAAGAGAAGAACAATAATCACAGAGAAAGGAATTTAACCAAAGGGTAATAACTAACGTAGGTCCTCCACGAGAAGACATCAAGGAACGTATGTGCTGAGAAATGCAGGTGACGAGGACTCTGATCAAGGAGCAGCTCTCAGGTCAGATCACCGAAATTTAAAAGGTAGTCACAACCATAGCAGAAAATCAGGCCCCCAAAGAGTAAATCTAGCCTCAAGAGGTAGCAAACTTGTCGTCAAAATTTTCTATTTTATTATTCTCTGATTTACTTAACTGAATATGCATACACAAATTAAAATAATAATAATAATAATAATAAGGCTTGGCTCAATTGGAAATTCCGAATAATCATATTTTTTTAATTCAAAATTCTTTTTTTTAAATAATATGTTCCTTCAGATCGAATATGACTTCATCCTATCTATGATTTCTTGGTCAATTTGATAGGCTGGTCGCGTGGTTTATGAAGTTTAGAAGAGAGACATATGTAAAAATTACGAAGCATTTAGTAATTGCGCGGTCTCCGACGGACAGCTGTTGATTCAAACAAAATGAACCCTTTTTGAATAAAGAAAACATAACAATATTTCCTCCGACATAAAAGGCAGTGGTCAGTCTTATTGAATCAGTCATTTTTAAATCTTAATTGGATAATTAGCTACTGTTGGCCACCCTTTTTATAATATTATTTTCATATGTTTGTTTCATACTCCTTTTTCAGAAGTTTTTATGCTTATGGGCCTTTCACACTAAGATGTAAAAACAATACAAAAGGCTGTCCCTCTTTCTATTAGAAAAATAAATGTAACACTGAAAATATATTAAAAAATTATAATTTTCACCTAATAATATACAATTCTACATACATACCGCCTAATTCTTATGTTTTTTTTAATAAGATGTTAGAACTAAAAAAAATCACATTCAATTTTGAGAGAAATAAGCCATAGATTAGCGGAAGCGTACCGGAATCCATTAGATCGATTGCACAAGATATGATCTTCCAATCTGCAGATTTTCCAGATTTTTTTTAGTTTCTTGTTGATGGGGTGCAAGAAAAGAGATGTATCTTTTTGCAAATTGGGGATCATCACCCTTTGAAGTAACTACCAGGCGGTTACAAAAAAGTTTTGTTTAATTCTAATTCTACCCCTCATCAAATTAGAATTTGCACTTATGGTATCCACGCTATAATATCATGACAAATGTGCCCAAAGTCATAAACTTAATTTTAAATTAGACCACAATAATTTTCCTTGGACTACATATGTATAAGATAAATGTGTCAACCTTAGTGCGCCCAAAATTTTGTCATCATCATTATGAAGACACATTACAATCTCGTCCATTAATTATATCAATACAGGATCAAAGCAGTCTTCGTTGTATCCGTCACAACTAAACCCATCAATGGTCACATATATCAATATAATCAAATGACATAGATCAATCATGAATGTGTGGAATGAAAATTACATGCAAGGTGGTCTGTCCATGTCAATTTTCAACTGGTCCTACTTTACTTAAGTGAGATCGAACCTTAACTGTACAGAGTGCACTGAACTGAATAAAATACCTCATTTCTGATCAGAAAATATCCAAATATATCTTGTACACAAAATAAAACATAAAACTATAAAACACAAGTTAACAAACTCCCACTGAATCTAAATTCCCTCAAGCTCTATAACACCCATATGAGCAGTATGCTCATGAAAGACCCTGGGTATCAGTGCCTTTGTAAGGGGGTCTGCAATCATTGAGTTTGTTCCTAAATGCTCTATGTGAATCTGGCCACTCTGTACTCTTTCCTTCACAACAAGAAATTTGATGTCAATATGCTTTGACTTGGTTGAGCTCCTGTTGTTATTGGAATACAATACAGCTGATTTATTGTCACAAAACAACTTGAGTGGTCTTTCAATTCCTTCCATAATGCGCAGCCCAGTGACAAAATTTCTCAGCCATATACCATGGTTGGATGCCTCATAACATGCTACGTACTCTGCTGCCATGGTGGATGAAGCTATGAGTGTTTGTTTTGCACTCCTCCAGGATATAGCTCCACCTAACAGAAAAATGTAGCCTGATGTGGATCTTCTGCTATCTTGGCATCCAGCAAAATCGGAGTCAAAATACCCAATGATCTCCAAATAGTCTGATCTCCTATAAGTAAGCATGTAATCTTTTGTTCTTCTTAAGTATCTCATAACCCTTTTGGCTGCTTTCCAATGATCCATTCCTGGATTGCTTAAGTATCTGCCTAAAACTCCAACAATGTACGCAATATCTGGCCGTGTACAAACTTGAGCATACATTAGACTCCCTACAGCTGAAGCATAGGGAATCTTTTGCATTTCTTGAATCTCAAGGTTTCCTTTTGGGCACTGATTGAGACTGAACTTGTCTCCTTTAGCGACAGGGGTGTCAATTGGTCTACAATTCTGCATGCCAAATCTTTTAAGTACTTTATCAATATAGCTTCTTTGTGATAATCCAAGAATACACTGAGAACGATCTCGGTGAATCTGAATTCCTAAAACAAATGAGGCATCACCAAGATCTTTCATCTCGAAATTAATTGATAGAAATCTCTTGGTTTCGTGCAACATGCCTATATCATTTGTGGCAAGCAGTATGTCGTCCACATACAAAATCAAAAAAATATGCTTTCTCCCACTAAATTTATGATACACACAATCATCAACTGCATTCATTTCAAAACCAAACGATAGAATCACTTGATGAAATTTGTGATACCATTGACGGGAAGCTTGTTTGAGCCCATAAATAGATTTTGTCAGTTTGCAAACCATATTCTTTGGATCTCCTGACACAAAGTTTTCTGGTTGCACCATATAGATCGTTTCATCAATGTCTCCATTGAGAAATGCGGTCTTAACATCCATTTGATGAAGCTCCATATCATAATGAGCAACAAGTGCCATGATTGTTCTAAAAGAGTCCTTCGTTGAAACCGGAGAGAAGGTCTCTTTATAGTCAATCCCTTCTTTTTGAGTATAGCCTTTAGCTACAAGGCGAGCTTTATACCTCTCCACATTACCCTTTGAATCCCGTTTGGTTTTAAAAATCCATTTGCATCCTATGGGTTTCTTTCCTTCTGGCAATGAGAAGTTCCCAAACTTTATTGTCTTGCATAGACATACTCCTCATTCATTGCTTCAATCCATTTTTCTGAATTGGAACTTTGTATAGCTTGACGAAAGTTGATAGGATCATCTTCCATCATACTATTATTTTCCTCATGTTCCTGAAGAAATACAATATAATCATCTGAAATAGCATTTCTTCTTTCCCCAGTGGATCGCCGCAAAAGCACTTGTTCTTGAGCTTGTTCTTGAGGTTGTTGAATTTGTTCCTCAAGGGGTTGATTAACAATGTCTTGTTCTGGATTCGCAACTTGATCAATGACAGGAGTGAAATCCTAATCATTATCAAAAGCAATTATTGGAATAGGAACCAATTCCTCTTCAACAAGAGTAGTATGGTCTGATTCCTCCTTAAAGACAAAGTCTCTAACCTGATTTCTCCCCCCAAATTCAATATCCTCAAAGAACATTGCAGTTCCCGTCTCAAATATTATCTTTAATTTGGGATCATAAAACTTGTAACCCCTAGATCGCTCCGAATAACCAACAAAATAGCTGCTCACTGTTTTAGGGTCTAACTTTTTCTCATGTGGCTTGTAAGGCCTTGCCTCAGCTGGGCAACCCCAAACATGAAAATGCTT